AGAAGGTTGGGTAGTACCATATTTGTGTTGCATTTGGGTTCGATGACACTGAGACAGCCGATATGAAGTCCACTATTTTCATGCCACTGGCCTCAGTCGTTGCATTGCTTCCGAGTGAGTTCACCAGGTTATCAGCATCGACTAAACTATCTACCCAAGGCTAACTTTCCGGATAGCTTTCGCACAAGGACTTGTGAACCCTATCATTCCGGGGTTTAATCCGGACCCAACGATCATTAGAGTTGGTCAAGACTTCTTCCTTGCAACTAGCACTTTTGAGTTCTTTCCCGGCGTCCCCATTTACCACTCAACCGACCTGTGAGTCTACTTGTTTCCGAGCGACCTGCGTAGCACCGTGTTGCCCAATGCTCACTCAACCGATGCAGCGTGAAGTGGGAAAACATTGGCCATGCACTATCGCGGCCGTCCCAGCTGAACATGCGCGGTACCGCTCCGAGTGGTGGTATCTTTGCGCCAACGCTGAGACACCACAACGGTCTCTTTTACTTGATTGACACAGTGTTCGACGTGATCAGCCCTCCGGACAATGTGAGTTCTTTAAGCGTAGTATGTGAGAGGAACTTTGGCCACTTACTGGTGGGCTTTTCCCATAGGTTACACGGGTGCCCCGTTCATTTTACGTCACGACCCCAAATATATTTGATCAGGCTAGTTGGAGTGAACCTACATATGTTGACCAGTGGGGCTTCGACCCGGACCTCTTTTTCGACGATGATGGGAAAGTCTATTTGACTTCGACATTCTCTGAATTTGTCGAGAATGGTAATTTTGCAAACTGGATCACCGAGATCGACATCAAGACTGGCGACTCCTTGAGTAACTCCCGTGTTCTCCACACGACAACGGTACCTCCAGAGCTTGGCTACCCACTCGTAAGCCTCATTCGCCATAACGACCAGCATAATATGAAACCGTCTTAGCTAATCGTCAACCGAACTATCTTAGACCGAGGGGAGCCACTTGTACAAACTCAACGGCACATATTACATGGTCACTGCCGATTCTGGAACCGAGGCTAATCACAAAGCAAATGTATATCGCTCTCAGACTTTGGACGGGCCGTGGGAAGGAAACCCTCGTAACCCTGTATTGTGGAATGGCGAAGATATGTCTCTGCCAGTACTTGCTACGGGGCATGCAGACATTGTTGACGACGCCGATGGAAACTGGTGGGCCGTTTTCCTAGCGATTCGACCACAGAATCCTAGGAACAGTACTGGACTTCCTCAGCTTGGTCGCGAGACCTTCCTGTGTCCTGTTACATGGGACGCTGACGGGTGGCCCATGTTCAACAACAACGAGCCGATTGCTGAATACATGCCCGACGTTCTGTACGACTTGAACCGGCCCAAGATATGGCGCGACGATTTCGAGGGTGGACTCACTGATGAAGCCTACTACTATACACGGACACCATACAAAGGCTTCACAGACTTCGAGTCCAGCCCTGGCAAGCTCCGAATCAGAGGCAATGTTTACACTCTGAACGATCGCGAAACCCCGGCAGCACTACTTCGCAAGCAGGTCGACATCAATACTACCTTTAGCACCGAAGTCAGCTCTTTCAGCCCGGCATCGTGGAGACAGGAGGCCGGTGCGAGTGTCTATCTCAGCATTCACTACCACAACGAAGTCGCCATTACTTACTCGAACGATACTGGTAGGCGATGCATAGTCACGCACACTAGAACGGGTCCCGACGCTACACTCAATACTACCTACATTGAGGATGAGGATGTTGCCAATGGCGAGCCAGTGAAGCTTTTCATCGAGGCCAAGGATGTAGGATATCGTTTAGGATACTCTACAGGAGATAAAGCGCCAAGTTGGCTTGCGACTGTTGAGAATCGCTGGCTCCAGTCATACGTTGAGGGCTGGCAGAACTTCGTTGGAACCCATTTCGCGATCTACAGTACCGGAACTAGACTTCCGACTCTAAATCCTGCGGTATATTGAATCTATTCCAAGCTTCCATAACGTAGCAAGGCTAACATCACTGTTTTTAGGACTTTGAGTACGTCCAGACTGAACTGAACTAGCGTGGCGGTATGAGGTTAGAGGAGCATTTGCAGGGACAGGCAACCAGTTTAATCGATGTGTTTCACCGGATAGATGTAGCTATCACCTTTGAATGTCATTTCCGAGAAGGAAGACACATCTGAAATGGTGCTCTTACATTACACATGTGTATCTTGCATCAACACGTGGGTAGATCTTCCAGCTCTGTAGCCTCTATTATTTGGCATTGACCGTTTCTTGAGGTTCACAACATCATGTACTTAATTAAGTGCCTTTAAGAAAAGAGCCCGAAGTAGTGACTTCTGAGGCGTGAAAGCATAAACGACGATAAAATGTTTCAAACTTCTTGTAATTCCATGAAATGTGTTTTAAGATGATCTGCCTCTTTTGGCGTTTGCTACACCTCCTTACCTACTTTGTTTTCTTAGACACGCGACCGCTAGATCAGGTCCTCAGATGTAACTTCAGGACTTAGTGCAGACCAGGCGGCAGTACCTTCTGATAGGCCCGAGGTTCAAGACCATCCTGATAAACGATCAGAATGACCCGTGTAAGTTGGGGTTCCGAAAGTTAGACCAACTTGATTGGCTCGCACGGAACGGTCCCTCTCCATTTCTCAGTGTCCACCTCTGAAATTCCGTTTCGATCTGCCGGTGGAGCAATCCGATTGGCCCAGACGGAATCATCAAACTGTATGAAGCAATCCGAAGTATGTTTTCGGAATTTCGGCCGCCCACACTTGAATGTGAAGGGACATGGACTTACGAGGGTCTGCACTGCTGAAGTCAAACAAGCTAGGCATATATTAGGCCTTCATTATCCTCCTAGATGTGCGTAAATCCAATGACCCGATAACACCAGAGATCAGAAATCCAGGCAGACATGGACGCCAAACAGCTATTGCCAGTCGCAACCGCGCACCCTTTCGCGTCGATCACAGCCTTTTTGGCTGTTCTCATCGGCCTCTATACGTTCTACTACCGGAAAATACATCCTTTGGCCAGATTCCCTGGCCCTTTTCTTGCGTCAGTTACCAACTTCTGGAGACTCCGGGAACTATGGAACTTGCACCTACCGGAGACCCTAGTCGTTCTGCACGAGAAGTATGGGGATGTCGTCCGCATTGGCCCCAACATGCTTTCCTTCAGACAAGGGAGTGCCGTACCGAGGATTTACAAGGCTGGCCGAACTTTGGCCAAGACAGCTTTTTATGACGGCTTCACTTCTTTCAATCCCAATTTGTTTGGAACTCGAGATGAAGAGGTGAGTCGTTGGAAGTTTCGCAAGGTATGGGAGATCACACACTGATTTTCCAAGGTACACTCGATGCGGCGACGGCAGATGGCACACGCATTCTCTTTGCAGTCGATCAAAGAAATGGAGCAGCACATTGACGGTCACATGCTTCAATTCCGCAATAACCTCGACGAGTACTCCCAAACTGGCCAAGTTTTCGACCTCAAGGAACTGATAGCCTTCTTTGTCCTTGATGTTCTAGGAGATCTCGCCTTCCGCTGTCAATTTGACTCGCAGATCGAAAAGGACATTTCGAAATTGCCTCCCATCAATGACCACATCTTTCTTGCTTGCCTAATGGGCATGATTCCTGATTTTATGCCGCTCATCAAAGCTATCTCTCCATGGATCCCGATTCCATGGCTGCAACAGCTTCTCGCAGCTAGACAAAATCTCAAGACCCTTACCGCGCAGTGTGTGAGAAACCGATTAGCTGACACTGGTGCTGCTCGAAAAGACCTCATCACCAGTCTGATCAACTCCGTAGACACGGAGACAGGCGCTAAGCTCACAGAGCTAGACATACAAACAGAGGCATTTGCGTTTATGTAGGTTGTTCGACGTTGCATTGCTCAGTTGATTTTCTCCGCTGTTTTCTCTAACATATTATTAGTGTTGCTGGCTCCCATACGACGTCCGGAACCCTTACTCTTCTCTTTTCTCACATTCTTCAAAACCCGGCTGTACATACTAAGGTGGTAGAGGAGGTCGATGCAGCGGTTGATGATGTTGGTTCGGCTATCGTGCCTATCAAAGACCTTGAAGCAAAGCTTCCATACGTCATGGCTTGTCTAGATGAAAACTTCCGGATGAACTCTGTTTTCACTATGCCCTTGGAGCGAGAAGTGACTGCCAAGGAAGGCTTCGAAATCGAGGGCTACGTAGCTCCCAAGGGCGTGCGTCTCTCCCTTCTCCCAAGATTGGTGTAACTGGAATTGCTGACAAAAACAACAAGACCGGCCTGTTCAGCCTGAACCACGTTGTTCATCATAATCCTGCCATTTGGGGCAAAGACCACGATGTTTTCAACCCCTCAAGATTCTATGATCAAGGAGGGGAGAAGCTCCAGCGTTTCCTCAGCCCCTTTAGCATGGGTCATCGCATGTGTATCGGACGCAACATGGCCATGACGAACATGCTCAAGCTTGTTGCAACAACCTTTAAATGTTATGATCTTGAGGCGGTCGAGCCGATGGAAGCTATCTCTACTATCAGCGTTGGAATTTCGGAGAAAGAAGGTCCATTGTTGTGTCGTGTTCGTAGAAGATAGGTTGAAGGTGCAAGAAATCGAGTAACGTGTCTCATATCGGCATCTTTGTGATTATGAGTCGGTCGAAAAAGAAGGAGAGAATGGCGGTTATGTGACTGCGTCATGGATGAAAATAATCAAGCTTGAATGCTTCTATCTGTGCTAGCGAGTGCTGGCTATTTCAGTTATCTCGAATGACCTGACTACACTCAAGTTGTTCCAGGGTTTATAATCAATGTGCAATCAACTATAAATGAAGTAAGATGGCTTCTGGATAGGTTCATGATTCGATCCTAAGAGGTACGTTGTATCCACCTGTTAAATTAAACTCTCTGACTCTAACATCCTTATCGAATGTAAGTTGACGCGGTTTATGTTCAAGCTCCATTGAAAGCTGAGCTTTTCAAAGTCGATGCTATTTGGCTGCATGCTGCTCGAGGAAACCAATCGCCTTCCTGAGAGACTCCACAGCAGTCACCGAATCCCCAGCTGAAGTCTCGACGTTGACGTTACCGGACCTTCCATCGAAACCGTGCTCCGCATCAGATGGAAACTCTGCCAACACACGCACTCCAGATGCCTTGAGCTTCTCTGCGGCTCTGGTGCTACACTCAACCGGTACAGCTGAGTCGTTCGCACCATGGAGTAGCATGACAGGCGGGAAGCCACTGAAATCCCCAAAGTCAAGTGGGAATAGATGTTGGTGTTCTTTGGGTACTGCTGCAGCTCCTTGAGTGGCAATCTGACGAGTAAGACCAGAGACGCCAGTCATGTAGTCGGGGAAGAGGGCGTCGATGTGCAGTGCCGACGTAAGAGCAAATCTGGGGTCAGCGGACGGGTCGCCTGATATCGGATAAGCTGAGACAGGCTTCCTCTCTTCGCCCGAAGCCTTGGCCATGGGCCACTTTTCCAGGATCGGCCCGGTCTCGACTGGCGGCCGGCCGAAGATATTTTTCCCGGGAGTTGTGTATCGACTTCCAGAAGGATCGAGCATCCCGTAGATGAGCAGAAGTGCACTAGGCTTTTGAGCAGCCGAGACGGCTGTGTTAAGAGCTAGATACCCACCAGCGCTTGACCCACCGACTAAAATTGAACCGACCGGACGGCCTATGATCTCCGGCAGTGACGACAGGGCCCATTTATAGGCGTCCGCTGCATCTTCAACGGAGTCGTGTGCGGTCGACTCGGGCATCAAGCGGTACTCGGGAGTCACAAAGACCCATCCACGGGAGGCGGAGGCATGCACAAGCCAGTGAGGCAAGAACGAATACCGATCTCCGACGATCTAGGAAAGTCTTCCTGTTAGCTTCGAACGGCGTAGATCAAGCGACCCAGTGAGATAATTCATATGCGTATGCGGCTTGAACGGAAGCAATTGCTTACAAGAAAGCCACCGTGATAATGCAGCAGCACAACAGCGGGAGAGCCATCTGACTTCTCGGGGTACACGACGTCGGCGTTGATGGTTATATCTGAGGTAACTTTGAAGGGCACTGTTCGTGACGTGTACCCCGCCAATGTCTCCATCGGAAATGGGGAGCCCATGTTAGGAAGTGCTGCGATCGTAGAGAGACAATTGCTAGGAATGCAGGGTCTAAAAGCTGAACAAACACTAAAGTAAACACTGATTCAGATCTTGATCACATCAACTTCAGCATTTGCTAGATGAGACAGCGGGGTTGACTGCACTGAGCTGGCTCTTTTGCTTGGTTATTAATAAGTTCTTACTCTGATGGGATGACCGGAGTTAGTTTGACCCCGCTATTAGTTCCGGCTCGGAAGTGACCGGAACTTGCTCAATCGCCAATCGGAAAAGTCCAATTGCCCGTTGTACAATTCGTGGACATGGGCGTAAGATCAAAGAAACCGTTCAGCTGGTCAAAAACCATCATATCTCCCATATTGCCAAACAATAGAGCATCAGAAGGGCTTTCGACACTATCTCTCTGTTCACCTTGCCCGCTGCTAGTCGATGCCGTGGCCGAAGAGGCAGACAGCCGTGTCGTGAGTTTCCGTAGGCCTTGAAGACGCTCCCAAAGAGTCAGCAACAACGTCGACCTATTGCTTAGGGCTCTGATCATATCCAGCGCAATGTCAAACTCGACAGTGACTTTGTCACAGAACATGGAGCTGGCATTCACAACAGCCAGCAACAGGTTGCCAAAAGCAGTTAGTAAGAGGTGCTTGAAAAAAAGCGGATTACGCTTTATGATGGCGGTATTTTCGTTGAGGCCTGAGAGCATCTGTAGCGACTCTTTGGCAACGGCGACGGCCTTGTGAGCATGTCTCTGATACTGCGTGATCCGCGTACCAGATTGGAGCACCGGGCGACAGATCAAGTTGTGCAAATGGCTCTTGCGGAGAAATAGCACAGCCTGAACATGTCGAACCTCTTGCCCCGGCTGGATGGGTTCAAGCTTCAGGTCGTCAGCCAGGAGTTGATACCACTGCTCTATCCGGTAATCGAGATAGTCGATTTTGTCGATATTAAGCTCACTCTCTTTCTCGACTTGGCTATTGAGGGCGTACCACGTCTTGCCCGCTAGTTTGGTCCAGTCGAGAAGCGCGGTCATCACCGGATCATGTCCGTTCTATCGGCTTGTCAGCAGGTCTTGGAGAATAATCCAGTACAACGTCACAGAGTTGGTGTAATCTTACCATTGCGAGTAGTGTGGGGTCGACATGGCAGTCCTGTATATAGAACGGTATCCCCTGGCCCAGGCTTGTTCTTCTCTCTAACATGTACACACACCAGAACGTCTGTAGCCCCGCTGCTTGCTCTTCCGAGTTGGCAAAGCGATCTACAGAAGCCCTGCGATGTAAGCCCATTTCGAGGCAGAGCCGAGCTGCAAATCCAATGATGCGACCGGTCCGTACTTCTTCATCAAGGTGATAGTAGTAAAGGGCCTACGTGTGCACCCGTCAGTAACATCACCCGGGAAAAATATTCCGCCTGTTCCAGGTAAGAGCAATACATACCATCAACACCAGCATCTGTATGTTGCTAATCGAGTTTTTACCCCATAGAAGCCCCTCGCCAGCTTCGGTGGCGCTCTGAAAGAGCCTCTGAGCTAAGTCATTGCAATTGCCACTCTCCAAAGTCAAGCAAGTGGCCAGGATAAGTTTTAGTTTGTTAGTATCACTGTGGAAAAGACACTCTGCCAGAGTTCCTCGACCCCGCGTCTCGTGAACGTTGACGGCCCGTAGAGTGTCAAACACGTTACTAGCAACCTTGAGCAGCTGCTCTTCGCTGACGACGGCGTAGAGAAAGCCGGTGCCCGAAAACCACTCTCGGATGTGGTTGGTAGCATCTTCGAGGCTGATTTCCCATAGCGGATCTCGGGCCAGAATCTTCATGAGTGGCCCATATTGCGCCAGCTGAGATGGCGTATTTGAGGCAGGGTTGGTCTTCGGAGTAGACTTGTCCAAAATAGAGGGCGGGATTCCCATGGCCTCGAGATTGCCTTTGACAACTCCAAAAGTGAACTCAGAGCTTGATGGGCCACAAAACTCCGGAGAATTACTACTTGCGTCACATGACATGAGATTTGGCCTAGACTCAAGGACAGGACTCGTCTCTTGGCCAGGCGATTGTGATGATGGAGTGTGTGTAGATACAGCTTTTGAGACGCTGAGTGAGTTTTCATGTTGAGGAGAAGTATGAGGTCTGCTTGGATCCCCGTTCCTTAATTTCCGTGAGCTATATAGATCCCCCGGTAGGATAGCGAAGGGGAGAAGATTTCCAAAGATTTACTTGAAGATGTACAACATGCAATTGAAGGGATGTAACTTACTTTGAACTGAGGTTCGGAGTGCCTAGAACTCGACGCTGTGGGTGGTATTGGCATGTGACCGAATTCCGTGTGCATGCCGCGCAGGGGTTGACACCGTCGCACTTGATCTTCTTCCTCTTGCATTCGATGCTTGGAAACGTGTTAGGTATTTCCTGACCTGGGCGGGTCTTCGGAAGGCTTACCATGCTTGATTGACGTAAGGGACCCTTCTATTCCGCCGATGACGCAGTGCGGTAAGATAATCACTGCTCCCGTCGGAGGGCACCATTGCAGGATTGGATTCCGACAGTGTCGAGCGTGAGAGCTGAGATAGTTTCGAGAGACTCAGCGTGATGTTATTTGGAACATGGTCGGGATTTGAGCAAGGACACTTGAAGTGGACGAAGGCATAGAACCACAGAGCCCCTTCTCATGTGCCTAGAGAAAGTTCACTGAGCATTGGCTCGGGTGTTCCGGAATTTCATAGGTATCCATATACGAGGTAGTCTTAGTTGCCCCGATAGCGAGATTTCACCGCGCGGGGAACTCTCCAGATTTACCCCGCATTAAGAACGATCACCCGCAAGTTCAAGCTTCGGCAAAGGGGAGAGGGAGACAGCAATTATCATACGGATCGTACGGATACACCTACTTGAAACATACTTCTGTTCATAATTGGATACAACGATAAGACGCTAGTTCCGGGTCATGGCTGGAACTTCTGGCCCTTTTTCCAGCACCCGATTCACCCTGCATTCAGTGTCTTTCTGTCTGCAATCGACAATTTCGGCCCGTCCTAGTGCTGTCGATACCTAGGTTGCGAATCACAACCCCCGGGTCTTGCAAGCCTTTCTAACCAGTTCGGCAATGCGAGCTACGTAGCAATCCAAAAATATGTTCGCTTAGGTTGATACCTGCAGCGTCCGGATTTCTTGAGGTGGGATCATGAATATTGCAGATGGGTGGAATTAATTCAATGGTCCCGTGGCGAGGAGACTACTGACTTATAGTATGGGTGCTACCCCGGGGTTTAGTGCAGCAGCAACTCTTTCCAGGCCAGTAAGCAACTGAGCTTCATCCTGAGAGAACACAATACGGAACCACCCAACACTCTCAGAACCAAAGTCTTTTCCCGAAGAAACATATGCCTTGTGTTTCAAAAAGAGCTTCATCAAGAAGTCATCCAGGTCCTCGTCTTCGACAGTTCCAAGGTTGTGTCTTTTCCAAGCCCTCCCAAGATCAGCCCAGAGGAAGAAAGCCGCGTTCGCGCCGGTCGTGTAGGGGATGCCCTATCCTGCAATTATTGATTGACTTCTTTTCCCCTCCATCCGTGACTGTGTCACTCGGTACCATGCCGCTAACCCTTGTATTGATCAAGTTGTCAGCGACATCGTCGGCACGTATGCTGTCAAAGCTTCACTAAGCGACTTGGTTGTAAACTCGCCTCCTATGCAGGTGTACATCAAAGTAGCGGACCTTGTGCAAGCAATAGAGACGATCGATTATGGGGACGCCAGCGAGGGGCCAGTGTCTTTGCCAACATCTAGAGCAACAGACATTTTTGACATGCCGAATGTTGCCTACGCGGTTGCGAATCATTTGCAGATCGAAAGTCGGCTAGACAGATACAAGCTCGATCCCAGGCTTTTCATCAAGCATCCCGAATTCCTCGAAAGCACTGGGGAACTCATGGCACAGGGTACGCCACTACGGCCAGAGTACTCATCGTGTCTCTCTTTTCCCGCCTCGATAGATACCAAGACAGCATCTTCATATCGCAACTTTATTGCCTTCACTTGCTTCAACGTATATGAAAGCCGAAGATAGAACTCTTTCGTAATCGATACGTCAAATAACCAGGTTACTGTCTTCCGTTTAGTACATCGCAAGAAATCCATACGCGATAATTACAGCGCCTTCGGTCGTCGTTCGATGGTGACCCACATATCCTTGAAGAAGCTGACGCCCCCTTTCACAACATACTTACCAGGCTCTCCACTATTGAGGATCTCTGGCTTGAAAGCCCTGAAGAATTGAAGAGGCCCTTTGAGCAATTCCATCATTGCAAGGTCTTTGCCCAGGCAAACTCTGGCCCCGTAGCCAAAACCCATGTTGTACTTGAGCATCTCCTTTGTCTTCTCCTCGCTTTCTAGCCATCGCTCTGGTCGGAACTCGGTAGCGTCGGGACCAAAGATGTTCTTGTCGCGATGCACCAGCCACGGGTTGCAAGTAACCTCAGCTCCTTCTGGTACGTGCTTGCCGTAAAGCTCCATACCGCCTTTCCCAGCAAGCCGAGGAAAGATGTTGGGCGCTGGAGGATTCAATCGCATGGCTTCGCGAATGCACGCCACATAGAATGGGCAATGTTCCTGGACTTCCGCGTACTGAGGCATCTCTGAAAGATTACCAGCTCGAGTCTGCTCGTCAATCTCGGCCATGAGACGATCATAGACGTCGGGATGTGTCATGATATGCATCATGAAAGCCTGAAATGCAGTGCCCGTAGTATCTGCTCCAGCAAGCAAGACGAGTAAGATTTCGGCTTTGATGTAGTCCAGATCAAGAGGGTTTCCATCCTCGTCCCGGGCTTCAATGAAGCTAGGAACATGTGAGTAAGTGATACTGAGAAGCTTTGGGTAATCTTAGGGCAGAATACTGACGTTTGTAGTAAATCGATACGTCCACCTGTCGTCCCTTTCTCGATGTCTTTGAATCTTTGAACGATAAGCCCGTCTCGGAATCTCATCAAAGTCCCGATTCCAGAGTCCTGCTCCGGCGATGCGACAAGGTATTTCCCCAAGAAAGTGCTCTTGACCCAATTTGTGAACGGATAGCACCGTGCCAGTATGCCAAACGGCACAAGGCCGTCGTGAAAACCTTGGATGAGTCCCTCAACATCTTTCCCCTGTTCAATGAAACCGAAAGGCTGTCCGAAGCCAACTTCAGAGACAATATCGTAAGCAAGGTAGACTGTCCATGGAGCAAAGTCCATCTTGGTACCGGAAGTAGCGAATGCATCTAGTCTGGACATCCAGCGCTCGATGTGCTTGTCAAGCAGAGGCTCCATCTTCCGAATGTTTGAAAAAGAGTAAGGCGCCGCAGCGATCTTACGGAAGCGAGCATGAACTGCATGGTCCTGCATGTTGAACAATGATTCCGTCTTTCCGAAACTGCCGGTGATGTAGTGTTGCGACTTGTTGGCATTTCGGTGGTAGATTTCCGGTAACTTGGTTGCGTCACTGACAAGCAACATGGTAGGTGTGATGCGAATGACAGGCCCTATTATTGCGAGTCAACTTTTGACTCTATTTGAATGTATGGACTCAACATATTCATTACATGCAAGATAAGTTTATTGTGAACCTGATGCCTTGGTAGACGTGCACTTACCATACTTCTTGTGAAGCTCCTGATTCACCCGACACTCATCCTCCTTAACATTATGATATGTTATCCACAGTCGAGTTACCGAACCCCAAAAAGGGCCGGGGAATTTGGCTAGCGGATGATAGAAGCGATAATACACGATTTGGTAAAGTAATTTCCACAACACATAGGCTGCAGAGAGCAGCAAAATGTTGCCAAAACTGAACAAAGCCATATTGAAGACAATGGCGAACGAGTTGTAGCAGAGAAAAAAAACTTCGGCTCTATGTTTTCCACTTGATCTGAAATTGGCATTACAATCTCGACCAAAGTCCCAAAATTGCTGATCTTCCTCCGCAACCAGTGCTGGGTCTGTTTCGGTGGAGGCCTGAAAGTTCCTCTTACTGGGTCCCTTCAACGGTGACATCGTCTCATGGGTGAGGAGTGACGGGCATAGTCCGCTTGATGTTGCATCCACTTGAACTTCCTCGGCACTTTTCCCGCCGCTAAGAGCCGACCGACTAACCACAGCGCAGCTAATTCTACAGACGCGACGTAATTGTGGAAATGTGTCGTAGCGAGCAGCAGGGACCGTGATCGGCATTTGTGGAAGGATTCCCATGGTTGTCAAACTTCTATGGAGTGATACGGCTGCGAACCTATCAAAGAAGATGATCAAAATTGCAGGCGATACCACTGGCGCCAGAAGTGGGCGAAATAGTCTAGGCAACGGTATGCCTTCACAGGGCTTTTACGCTCGAGGTAATGTCGGCCGCCCACCAAAAGTCGCATTCCTTACCTCAAGCAGGCATGTACCTCAGGTAGTTCGAATACACACGCCAGTAAATGGCAGTGTTAGTTGGATGCCTGGCACCTGAAGATCACTCACAAAGATTATTACTTTACGATTTGATTCAACACGTATTATCCGAGGAACATAGAGAGTATTGGAAGTAATTGTTGACACGCCTGAAGTAACAGCTATAAAAGGACATAACAGTACATGTAGGAACAGAGCTGGGACTTTGGGCGGCACACGATTGTGTCACGCACTTCCCGCGTCAAAAGCCTAGGTAGGTGTTTTCTTTAGATCTTCGAAGTCGTCTTCTTTCATTATTGATACGCGGTATGGCATTATTAGACTACAGCCTGCGGGTACTCTTGGAGATTTTACTTGTGGCAATGGTCATTACCAGCTACCCGAAGGGATACTCCATACAGCCAACTATCCCGCAGTTACTGGGAACTGCAACATGATGCTAGACGCATCTCGAATATGCTTAAGACCATTGAACCCCAGTCTGTCGGGATTTTCGTACAAATGGGTAAACTCGGCCGGAGATGGGAAATCACGCACCCCCCATCACCATGCAATCAATTGGCCAGTCTGTGTTACCAATTTTCCGGACGTGGACTCGCGACTCGCTCCGTCGATGACCTCGAGAACGCCAGTAACAGAGCTTTCAATCGTGTCAAGTCGTTTGAGATCAAAGTTCCACTGCTTCGCAGCATCTTCACCCATAGACGTTCGAACAAATCCGGGGTGGACAGCCACGCTTACCAAGTCTGGATGTTGTATATGCAACGATTTGACCAACCAGTTAAGCGCAGCCTTACTGGGACCATAAGCGCCAGCAGGAAGAGGCTCTTGTTCTTCGATGGATCCAAGCGATGACGTGATTCCGATGAACTTCGCAGGGGGGCCGTCTGCTTCCTGCGGTCTTTCCAGGAGCGGCCAGAGACCTTGAAACACCATCAAGGGTGCGATGGTGTTGATTTCGAATGCACTCCTTAGTTCCTCGGCGGTGGTCAAGACTGAGCGCGATGCTGTGGCAGATACGGCGGCGTTGCTAATGAGAACATCGATTCGGGTGACGGCGCCGCCAGTCGCCGTATCGAAGGCTTTGCGGACGGCAGTGCTATCAGGGGCGATGTTGAAGTCAAGCAATATGACAAAAAGCTCGCTGCCGTTACCCTTGTTTACATCTCGGACGCTGGACTTCAGTGAAGAAGCAGCTTCATCATTCCGAACGGAGGCAACAACTGTTGTAGATGGCCTCGCTAACAAGGTCTTCACTAGGCCAAGGCCGATGCCTTTGTTGGTTCCAGTAATAACATATACGGTGTTCGGCATTGTCGGACAGCGATTTATGTTGGAATCAAAGACTGCAGAGCGCGAAACTGGGGTAAAGATGGACGCTCGTCGGCGACGCAACTTATAAGACCGGTAGTTGGCAAAGGATCAGTGGAACGTGGTGATGTATGATAAGGTTGTAGGGAGACTTTGCGGTAAACAAGAGGTGATCAGCGGGATCGCGGCATCCACTCTAAATAAGTACAACATCGGAAGGATCAGGACCAGGGCAAGGGGTCAAGAAAAACACGTGAATCTCTTAGGGCCAATCCATCGACCATATGAGCACCTCACGTCAGCAAAAAGTGATGGTTGCGTGATATCCAGGTCTACACGTGCATATCTATATGGCGTGCCGCAACTTCCGTGTCCACTTCTCAACCTTCTATCATTCTAGTTTGTCTCTCTGTCGACATGTTCGCCTTGGCATTGCACAGAAACACTTGGTCAACGTTCAAACCAACAAATTGGCTTTCTCGTGCGCCGCATCTAGACCACCGGCAAAACCATCAGCAATTTTCAATGCCTCCAGACGCTCTTCCTCAACCTTTTCCCAAGTCCACCCTCCGAAGTCATTTGCATCTGGCGTGACGTCTGCAATGGATCCTTCAGGTTGGTCCTCCGAAGGAAGAACTCCTGCCGCCTGGAAGAACTTCTGCGGTGGCACAGTGAGACGACCGGCTTTGACAACGCATTTCGAGATTGCTGTCGCATAGACAAGAGGCGATGACTGGTCAGTCTTGCCTTCATCTACTTCCTTCCATGGTTGGTAGGTGGGCGACTTGCTCCCTTTCCGCTTCTCGACAAAATGGGTTACAATGTACAGCCACTTCTTATCCCAGGTGAGGACTCTGCTTTGCATGTTAAAGGCAGCACCAGGCTTGATTTCCTTCTTGAAGGTGCAGGAGGTGCCTGCGAGCAGAACTTGAACACCTCTCTTGTAATCCTTGTACAGACCGCCGTCAATTGCTTGAGCTCTCAGGGCGGCGAGAAGGTCCGTCCTAGCAACATCAAGATCAGAGAAGTAGGTGCTATTTGACTTGTGCAAATTGTAGTCGGTCTCCAGCAGAACAACCCGAGAAGGTGTGACTACCGGCTGGAAGATAGCTCCAGGTTTGTGCTCGAAAAGCCCATTCTTGGGCCACCAAATGTGGCTGAACACACGAAACTGGCATTAACATTAGGACCGATTTCTCCATAGGGTAGTCAATCATGTCCACAGCTATGACTCACATGCCAAACAAAAGGGATCCTCTTCAGGTTCAGGTACAGTAGTGCAGCTGTGGCCACTCCCCATGCTGCCTGGACTTTGGTTGAGGCGACCGATTGCATCATCTGCTCGAGGATCTGACGAAGGCACGGCTTAGCAGCCCCCAGCGCATCTGCCATTGTTCTCCATAGCGTGGAGTCTGTCATGTTAAATTCTTCTGCAGAAGGTCGTGGGATAAGAAGTCAGGTAACATGAAGTCAAAGCCAAGACTTCGGGCTAAGCCAGATGGCCACGGAAGATATTCAAAGCCTCGACGTGGCCACACGAGTCAGTCAGTTAGCAGTGTCGTTGCAGCGAGTCATTTACCTTGAATTGATGGACTCGGATACTCTTGTCCAAAGCGGACGTTGCAAGGCGCTGCTTATCACGCGCATTCATAGTGATTGAATCCAGTCCCTTTTGAAGACTTGATGATTTCCACAAACTCCAAGTTTCACTGGGCCATTTGTAATGGTTACTGCAAGTTATTAGCACTTTGGATCGTATTCAATGAGGTTACAAATCTACATGAACATGTACCCAGAAAGTACATGTAAGCAGTCATACCATCGTGTGGATGATGCACTCTTCTGGAAGGATGAGCTCGTTGGTAGCGGTAAGCGCCTCGAATCTTGGACCGGTCCGGAGCTACTCGCCCAGTATGAGCCCGCTCGGCGCCGAAACCTGGATCGGGTCCGATCTAGAGTGGGGATAAATCGACCGAGGTTACGGGAAACCCAGCCCGTTGAAATGCTTCATGTGGTACAAATCATTGAGAAAAGGCCTATTTTGACATTATGATTGGCCAAGACGCAGTCGGTATTGTTTCATCCTTAAATCGGGTTTTCTTCTTTTCTCAGTGGCACTGTGGTGTTCTGCATGAATGCGTAGTAACTCTCCGTTTTCGAAATCGAAAACACCGGGTTAGGATACAGGTGCCATGCCGGTGTTACGAACTTTGCAAGCTCCGTCTTTGAAAAATGCTATGTGGGATTTCCTTGTCGCGTAGATTCGCTTTCATGAAGATTTTGAGAATGTTTGCAACTCCAATGTCAGAATCTTACTTGTTGTTCTCATTTGAGGAGCAACGTGTAAGACGAGTCTACATTTCCTGTATGTCCAGTCAGCAGCCCTCATCTGCCGGTTGTGAGGCTGCATGTCCGGTGATGGTTTGGCTGCGATCGGGGTTTGGTAGAGAATCGCGGGAGTGTGTAAGACAATGTTCTGGTGCATTCGTCCAATTTCAGTGCAGGTCGCGAGCACAGACTCCACGTGTACAAGTGATTGCTAGTTGAGCAGATCGATTTTTCGGAGGTCCATAGATGAACGAGCGTTCGTCCTGGTTTGTGTCTTGCAGAGCAAATAAACAATGCACTAATAATTCCAGGAGAGACAATGGTGCTGCAGATCCAACTGTGCGTACTCTGCATAACCCTCGGGAATTTCTTGGCATCTCAGACACACCATCGGTGACCATGGTGCCAGACCTTTCAGCTAAGGTAGCTGAACACACACACGGCCCCTACACACCAGGGTAGGTAGTCTGGACTCGGCCAGATGTCTAGCTCCGTGAACACAGGGACGGGAAACCAGGATGACAGTACGCTACGCGCGTCAGTAAACTCGAGCGTATTCGTTCCATCGGACTTTGTCAAAGCACGAGGTAAAGGGATCATCGCCATCGGTAGTCCGTCTGCACCGCGCCCAGTCTGTCTCCACGTTACTTCCGGTCCGCTGAGCTGACGCTCCACGCGGCCAACGGACGCCCCTGACAAGTGCTGTCATTTAGCGTCACAACGCATCAGCCGAAGACTCAAGTGCCAATCATCAACCCAGGCTCATTTCGGTAGAAGTCGGTGTGGTTGCCAACGGAAGAGCCGCAGCGCTTCGATAGAGGCGATTTTCCCACCCTACATGACGTAGAGATGGCCAGGCACAGGCCCAGCAAGCTCGCCCGTCTTGGCTTTGAGCCGACTTGCCGGTTTTTCGTGGGGAACTTAAGAGCCCCATCACATCCACATTGCCCATTCGGTCCAGCCAGTCGCCTAGTTCGAGACATTTGCTCTTGACGTCAACAAAACAGGGAATCTAGTGGGAAACGAGGTTTACCACTTTTTCCGGCTCCTCAATGATCTCACCTATGGCTGGACGCAGCTAGAAGCTACTCAAATTGGACCAAAACGTCAACACAGCGGAAGCTATATGAGCTCCGTACAGCTGCCCAGAATGTTTAGATGATTTTAAAGTTTTGCTCCACACTGATTTTCATCTCCAACCTGCGGACTTTATCTCATCACATTCGTTTGCGCGATACAATGGCTCGCCAACAGAGTCTGAGCTCGAAGCTCATCCAACTGCTGCCCTTCGTTGCCTACTCTTCGGCATCAGCATTGTACTCTACCTATAGCTTCAACCCGCTGACACATCTGGGAGGCATTGCCCCGTACTTCGAATCACAAGACCCTCAATCATCACCCGACGCGCCACAGGGATGCAAAGCAGAACGTGCAGCTTACCTGGTTCGACATGCAGCCATTTACGCAAACGACTTCGACTTCGAAGAGTACATCGAGCCCTTCCTCGAAAAGCTGGGCAACAAGACGAGCATCGAATGGAGCAAGATCCCTTACCTGAACTTCTTGTCGGGCTGGGAGGCACCAGTGTCTGAGGCTGAGGCCGAGATCTTGACACGGGTTGGGAGACTTGAAGCGACTCAACTCGGCGTCGACCTCGAGTTCAGATACCCCAACCTCAGACTCCCCAAAAGAGTATGGACCTCTTCCGCGGAGAGGACAGAAAAGTCTGCCCAGTCTCTCGTGCGCGGGCTCGAGACCGACGACAACACCATGAACGTCGTCAGCATCTACGAATCGGAGGAGTCAGGCGCAGACAGCTTGACGCCTTACAAGGCCTGCCCGGCTTACTCTTCCTCTGCGGGCAGCAAACAGTCTGCCGTCTACCAGGAAAAGTTCACGAAACCCATCATTGCCCGCTTCAATGACTTGGCCCCAGAGTTCAACTTCACGACGAACGACATCTTTGGCATGCAGCAACTTTGCGGATACGAGACCGTCATCCGCGGAAAGTCTCCTTTTTGCAACTTGGAGCTCTTCACCCCCGACGATTGGCTCGCCTGGGAGTACACGGAAGACGTCCGCTACCACTACAACGTCGGTTATGGAGCCGAGGCGTCTGGATATGTCGGTCTCCCCTGGCTGAATGCCACCGCAAACCTGCTCATGGGTGACTCAAGCGATGAGGACATCTATGTTAGCTTCACTCACCGTGAACTGCCTCCTATGGTCATCGTTGCGATGGGTCTTTTCAACAACTCTGAGTTTGGTGGCAGCGAGGCTTCCATTAACGACACTATGCCGCTTGACCGCATCAATTACCGCCGTGCATGGAAGGCCTCCAGCATCCTGCCATTCCTTGGCAACATTGCCGTTGAGCGTCTGAACTGCACCGGCGCCTATGGGTACGATAATGGCGACTACTACCGTGTGCTGGTAAACAGCGCACCCCAACCCCTTCCTGATTGCGCCGATGGCCCCGGCACTTCCTGCTCCAGAAAGGGTTTCGAGACATATTTGCAAGATAGAGTGGACCAGTTCTCTGGCTTCTCCGAGAAGTGTGGTGTCGAGTACAAGAACAGTACCGACGTCCTGTCGATTTATACAGATGCCGCGGTTGGCAATGGAACCACAGTGGGCAAGCGTTATGAGCCATTCCTTAATTAAACATAGCGTAGAATGACCTGTAATCATAGTATTAATTAATGTCTCATCCTTAATTTGATATCCAACCTGGTGGAACTCCGCGTTGTCAACTTTCTTCTTTGTCCCCGATTAGCCAGCAGGAGACCGCATCTGATATTATCCCTGACTTCTTACACCAAACATCACGCGGGTCATCCACGAACGCAACCAAAGCCACAATCTCCGCGTCCTCATAGCATAAGACAAGATGTAAAGCATAATTCGGTCGGTGACTCTAGAAGTGTCAATCGTCTCATAGTTTTTGAAATATTAGCAATTGCACTCTTGTCTATTCGTTACAAGGCGCTTACCATTGGATTCTTGCCCCCGCTCCTCTTCACCCATTCAAAAGCTCGAGGTATGACAGCCCCCTCATACCTGTCGCAAGCCTGTATTATGTCGGCCTCTTTCAGCCCTTCCGTCGTCTTTGCCGTCTCTGCTAGTCGGACTAGTAACGGCAAGGCATCGGCCGTATCTCGCATGGCTTGGTTACCACCCATCCCTCTGTTGATGTCAGTTCCGGAATCCTGCATGGCCTATCGAAGGGTTTACCTTGAGGGAAACATTGAGTGTATAGAATCTCCTATGAGCCATATGTGCGGGTTCCCAAGCCGTTTGTCATCAGCTGATGTAACTAATTTGCGCCAGTTCGTGGACGGACGGGAGGACACTCGTGGTGCCCCGTAGTACATCTCTTGACCCCGGAAGACTCCAATTATATATCGGCTGTGGAGAGAAACATGTAAGTAATACATTTCGAACTTGAAGCAGGCTTTGCGGAAACACCCTTACTGTTTTGGGGACCAGTCCCAAAAGAGATGGTCAACGGCATCCCACTTTTCTGCTTGCGACAAAGATTCGAAGCTGCGTGAGGTCGCCATGCGATCGACGAAGAATCCAACACCGAGCATACACGACGCTAGCTCTTCTTCATTTTCGGCATCTGCATTTTCAAAACGAGCTGTCATGTTACCGGGCATATAGACTAGAAAGATGATTATTGGCACAAATTCCAACCCAATTAGCTCAAATGATTCCACAGTGACCAAATACCTTGGAAATACAGGGTCTTTCCATCTTGCAAAGTAGCTATGGGTGAGCTCGGATCCGGTGACAGCCGGCGGCAAACTGACAATGGAAGGTCGCATCTAGTCAAGAAGGACCTAAAAGAGCTTAATTCCTCGATGTTGTTTAGTCCGCAGAGATTGTTGATCTAGAATGAATAAGCAAATCCATAGAAGAGTGTGGGAACGGAAGATGAGTTACCTGCGACTTATTGCCATCAGCAGCAAGCAAAATGTCGCAGACGTCAGAGGTGCCATCATCGAAGTTCACCGCAACTATATCTCGATGGAGTCCTGGACAAATTTCAAAGTCCTTGAATTTCTTTTGATAATGAATCTTGCCCATTGTGTCAAGTGGCTCGCGAAGAGCATTTTGGAGGATGACGCGGCTAATAGGCGAGGATTGTGTATAGTTCGGGTCTCGCCCGGGTTCGAAAATCTTACGAAAGTGTTTGTCGTACAAGATCGGTGCCTGCGATGACGCTGACCTGCCGAAATGCTTGGAGATTGAATCGATTTGGTCTTGGTCAAGACATGCCCGCATGCCTATGAATGTAGCTTCCCCTAAGCGGATCTGATATCCTTCTCTTTTGGAGTTCTTCTCTTGTCTTTCATACACCTCGAAGTCGACATTGTGTCGCGCTAGCCCGTTAGCCAGAAGGTTGCCAGCGAGACCCGCGCCAACAATGATCACTTTGAAAGGGGGTTGTGTAGCGCAATTGCTCATGACTAAGATGTTTTGATTCAGACGATCAATGGAAAGTTAGACGCCGGGAACATGAACACTTGCTGTGCCTGCATTTAACCAAAGAATCTATTATGCTTGCTTTTCAATCGTGTCAAGGCAAAAGACATCCAATGACTTGACTCTTAATACTGCGAGACTACAGAGAATCGGTACTCTATATTGCCGAGATTACCGCTTCGGCCAGGAATGTTCACCGAGTACCGACTCCGAATGCCTGATGTCCCAAGACTTGCAAGGATCTAGATCATCTGAGTTCGACTTTGCAACCTTCCCCGCTGCTTCGAATTGGCAGGCCACATCATCAGACGAGTGTTTGGTCGCCATGATTGGCCACAGCGAAGCCAAAAGGTGAGACGGGGCGAGGATTGGATGTCTAAAAGCGGCATCGAGAGCTGAGTTTCAAAATCAACGATGTGTTATTCGAAGATAATCGGCTACCTATGTGGTTGATAGCATTGTCGCAAGCCCTGTTAAGCTTCATACCCATATCCTCCTTTACCTTACTCCTTTGAAAGCAAAGCACTGATATTAATAGCCTTTGGATATAGTATATTCCTTATAGTATAACTTGATGATGCCCTCACTGTATAGCTCGTGGGTATTGAAGGTGAAAGCTGGATGATATGCTGACAAGGAGTATCGCTCATGTGAGTAAAGGGGTACCTGGTGAAAGCCCGTAGCCTTCTCAAATGTGGGACGCAAGAATCAGTCTGAATCCTATGCTTAAGAGAATAATATACGTCAATCATCAACTTTCATCGAGTTTCCACAGAACGGCGGGAGTGTAGAGACTTTGGCTCTGGAGGTTTTGTTTTTCCATGACCGAACAGATGTGGCTGCAGCCCACGCAGCTCAGAAAAAGGGAAGCCTGAAAAGGTCATCTCCTGATACAGTATCTACATGTATGGAATCTTGTCCCCCCATGCATATTCAGGTTTACCTACCTACACTTGGTTTCACGCAGTCCTATTGGCGCACATTCAACCGGAGAGGATTCTTACTACCGGCATGCTCAAAGCCATAGCTTCGATATCATTGATCTAGACCTTCTCTTTGCATCGCAGTACGTAATGGAAGCGGATCTGGTGTGGAAAACTTCGTAACGCTTGTACCAACGTTAAAATCCCGACAGTCTTGCGGGAGCTTTCGCTGATAACGGTACTACATGGGCCATCGGCGTCGGCCGCAGGCCGCTACAACCCCCATGCCATCTCATTCTTTACCAAGGCGTCCGCGTCCATAGAGAAGCTCGATTTGATAGTGGATATCCTAACATTCACCTGCATACAGATTCCCGTTGTGCCGGAGTTTGTTCCCTTCTTGGCGACGGCTGAAAGGTGAGGCAATGCAGCACGCAACTTCGACCCCTACACGGAACTCCCGCGCGGCGCGATGGAGTCCGGCGTTGAATTGCGCCATAACCACTAACGCGTTGTTACGTACCATTTTACTACTTTGCTGCCAAAAATGAAGTGGTGTTGGTTCGAGGTGCCGACCGTCGGCCTACTGTCTCCTGTCTCTTCTCAAGCACCCAACGACGGAATACAATACATTGCAAACTATTTGGTGATGATTAAGTACCATTATCAAGTAATGTGAGCTCGCCAGACAGGTTTTAGACTTCAATACACTTCCAAGTCATACCGGCACGGTGACATGCTTCAATTTGAAGTTGATGCTGTTTTTGTACGAGCTTTGAAGGTTTGGGTAACCGCGCCCAACTTTTGCTTTTTCTCTTCGTCCTCTCATGATTTCTTTCTTCGTGTTGGCTGACCGGGAAGATTCGCCATGCTGGTGACAGTTGTTGTCATCGCCAGACCCTGTTTAACCCCCTTGGTCCCCCACATCGGAGGCTGGTTGTGTCATCCACCCCTCGGATGTTGAAATCGGGAACGGCCCGTTAGCGAACGTTTACCAGATTACCACCGAGCTCGTCGGCATCGAGCGCGAATGAAGACCGCAAAGGGTTCAAACCTTTTCGGATGGCAAAATTCAAAATGCAAGGATAAAACTTTGCAGGAAGAATGGGAGGCCCCTGGTTTAAAAAGGTAGGTGGAAGCCAGCACGATTCCTTTGATGAGCTCACAGTGCAGCACCCTTGATCGAGACCTGCCCGTCTTACACCGCCGGCTTAACCACACCGGAATATTACTTTCCTGAGGCGCTCTACTCAGCCCTATCCGTGTCCACGCGTCTTGGTACTCGTTTCAATGGCTTGGCGACGTCCGTTTGGCGATCGCGCTAGCGCGCAAGGGACGGTTGTTGAAGGCCAGCGAGAGCAGATCGCAAATGGCAGCACGCAGTACATCGGCGAGAAAGGAGGAAACGATGCGCCTCCCACCTATCAAGATGCTTCTGGAGCGCCTGTCGAGAACAATTCGCCTCTAGGATACGATGTTGGCCCTGTCACGATCACGCTTCTAAACATCACGATGATGATTGGCGCTGGTATCTATTCTACTCGTAGGTTCGACCGATTCGATATTTTTGCCCAACTTTTGCTGAGTCTTTTAAGCGGCTTCTATCTTGAATGGCACTGGCTCTGTCGGTGTCAGCTTCGTCTATTGGACTCTTGGTTATTTGGTACGTTCCTGTGGTATTACCCATGACCACATGTAACATTTTACTTGGCCCAGGAATGGAGTAAATGCTGATCATCTCTACCCCTACATGTAGTTGTGCCTTGCTTCCGGAGCGGTCTATCTCGAATTCACAGCGTACTTCCCCAGTCGATCAGGATCTGAGGTTGTGTTCCTTGAGCAAGCATATCCCCGCCCAATGTGGCTGTTTCCAACTACCTTTGCGGTCCAGAGCGTCATTCTCTCTTTCGGAAGTGCCAATGCCACCGTCATGGCCAATTATCTTATTGCTATTTCAGGACACGAGGGAACCAATTGGCAAATCAAGGGCACCGCCTTGGCCTGCTACAGTCTGGCCACACTGAGTGAGTTTCCACGTTACCAGACCCTTCGCATAAACCCGACATAGCGTGGTTCATCCACTAACAACCTGCAGCGCTGGTTTTCAACACAAAGTATGCATACTGGTTCTCCAATGGCGTCGGAATCGTGAAGATATGTACCTTGCTCTTCGTGATCATTACTGGATTTGTGGTACTCGGTGGTGGCACCAGGGTTGAGAACCCAACGGCCAATTTCCAGGATGCTTGGTCAGGGAGCAAGACAGCCAGTGCCTATGGTATGACTACGGCTCTTTACCGCATCATCTTCTCCTACGGTGGCTACAACAACGCCTTTAACGTTGCCAATGAGGTCAAGGTATGAGCCATGACGCCAGGCGAAAAATGATCCCAGACTGATCCAGAGCTCGTTAGAATCCTGTGCGATCCCTCAAGATCTATGCGACAGCTGCACTGACGACTGTGTACATTTTGTACATGTTTGCTAATGTCGCATTCTTTGCTGCCGGTAGGTTGCCCAAGTCTATAGGATTGAGGTTATGGCATTATGTCTAACGAAAGGATGTTACAGTCCCGAGAGAACTCTTGGAGAAGTCCGGCCTCACTGTGGCCAGCTTGTTCTTCACTCAAGTCTTTGGCAACAGTGGTAATGTTCGGGGACTCAACTTTCTTATCGCACTAGCTTCATTTGGAAACATGATTGCAGTTATCATCGGACTGTCTCGACGCATCAGAGAGTGTGGCCGACAGGGCGTCTTGCCGTACACGAGATTCTGGGTTTCCACCAAGCCTTTCGGCACTCCACTTGGGCCTTATCTCGTCATCTGGTCTCTGACGGCTCTGATGATCCTGGCGGTTCCTGCCGGAGATGCCTTCACCTTTGGTGAGTTCCATCGCTCAGTTGGCGCTCGATTCAGGAGACTGATTTTGATTAGTGAATGACCTTGGAGTTTTCCCGACGGCTGCCTTCAACTTGGCCATGGCCGTGGGAATCTACGTTGTTCGCTGGCGCCGCAGAAAGGCTAATCTTCCGGAGCCTGAGTTCAAAGCTTGGCATGTGGTTATCATCTTCAACATCTGCATTCAGCTCTACCTTCTCATCATGCCGTGGTACCCTCCGGCAGGTGGACAGTATGCCGGCGATGTCAGCTTCTGGTACGCGACGTACGCCGTTACTGGTATCGGCATGTGAGTGAAATCCCTCCCCTAATATTTGTTTCTTGAGCGAACGCTGATCGCAGGACTCGCAGACTCCTCATTTGCGCTGCCTACTACTGGCTCTGGGCTTCCCTTCTTCCCAAGTGGAGAGGCTACAAGCTGAGGCAAGAGCTCGTTAGCTTCGATGACGGCGCTCAAAGCAATCAACTCCGGAAGATCCCCAACGCCGACGTTTCCGAATGGGACAGCACTCACGATGCGAGTGGTCGCCTCGTTGAGCCATCTGCCAACGAGGTTCTTGTGCAGGAGAAGGGGGTGCGCGTCTCTTCCGAGGGAAGCAACTCCGATACTGGGAAACACGTCCCAAATGCAGTGAGAGAAACTCACAATGTCTGAAAATGATTGGAGGAGTGCGAAGGAGCCGATGGTCAGCGGATGTACACAAACCACATGCCTGTTGAGGTGATCAAGCTACACTTCTTGGCTTTCTCATTTGATGCTATCGTGAAATTTGGCCGATGGAAGGACATATCGTTCTCAAAGACTCAGATAGCAGTCAGCAATTGACACGCATCTGTTTCACTTCTACTTCTACCGTCTATGATATGGGGGACTCTTGTTTCCCTTTCGCATGTTTATCAAAACCTCATCATACCCCCAGTGTCTTGGCGTCAGCTTGACAATAGGTCACAGGCGAATCACAATTCCCTTAAGTTTTCCCTTGCTATCAGACAAGACAAGGTATCAACAAACCGCGTTGCGCTGCTATGTCATCATGATCCTGCGTGCCGCTAGGCCAATCACACAAGCGGCGATCGCTACTGCATGCGCCCGGCCTCGGCTTGTGTGGCTGAATGACATCATGCAGCTCTCTCCCTTTATCAGAAGCTCGAGACAACAA